AAAAAAAAAAAAAGGAAGGTTCAGCTGTCATACTTACAAACAACATACTGGCAAACGACAATCTATGGACAAATTCAACCTGGTGTCTGTTTTTGCATTTAGTTTTATTACAACACAGTCATATCAGTTTATGTATAATTGATAACTGTTTCCATGCAACAACTACAGAGATGTATGGTGTGACATAAACCCTGGCTTACAAGCCTAATTTGTCTGGTATTTTATAGAAAATAGTCACTGATCACCTGATTTTGTGTCTCAAACACTCATCATGAAGATATAAAACCTTGGGATCCCATTTGAGAAAATAGTTCTAAATCAGCTGTTTTGATTTGAGGGCCTTGAGAAGAGATGATCTATCAGGCACTATTAAAATGGCCCATGTTTTGGGTCTTTCTGGTGGTGCAATGGGTGAAGTGCAGCACTTACCAAGGCATCTGCAGCTGCTGCCGCATTGAGTTCAATTCCCTGCCAGGTTGGTGACCCACAGGGCATGGCAGACCTCTCCTGACCTACCTGCTGCTCCTCTCAGCAGTGTATTTCAGCACATGCAGCCTGTTCTGCTCCCTCACTCTCTGGTGAATTCTCTCACTGGCCACCCCCTCCTGCCCCCGCCCAGGCCTGGCCAGTTCTTGTATATATAAATACATGAATGTTTAAAAAATATATATATAAGAATGAAATCAAATTTTATACTTACAGATGTTCTTCCAGCTTCTTTTTTAGAAGAACAGACTGAAAATGGAAAATAAGAAAGTTTATTACATAATACTTTAGTTATTAAAAATTAATAGTACTAACTCAAAGTATTCTCAATAAGTTCACTAGTCCAACAGCTCAAACACACAATGTATCTGAGTTCATTTCTCTTTGAGAAGGAAGAATGTATGATTAATATAAAATACCCCAAAGCTGCATATTCGTTTTCTTTATACAGTCAAGGAAATGAATTAAAGTCACTTATGTATAGACTTGGACTCAAAAGGTAGGCAGAACTCTAATAAAAACAAACTTTCCTAGGATAATTCTTATCTACTATATTGTTTTCCTTGTATCACAACAAAATTTGGTCTCATTTCCAATATATGCTTAACTTAGGGATTTGTGAGTATGTACTGCTTACAAATAATTCACTTGATGGTATGAGAATGTCACAAATGTTACATGTAAAGAATTTAATATACTTAAGAATGCAGCTCTGAGTAAGAATTGGGGGGCAAAAAAAGTCTCCTGAAAAGATTATATTTGCTCTAAAAATGTCCTCACACTAATTCTTTGATTTACAGTCATCTTATCTGATGATCACATAATTGTTTATTCAAGTTCATTCCAACATAGCTTGGCAATATTTCAATAGTTTTTTGTTCAGCATGACAACTATCCACCAGTGGATCTCAATATCCTCTGTCAGTGCTTTCCGTAAATTAAAAAAAAGACAACAAATCCCATTAACTTTCTAGTTAAAGGATAACATAAATACTTTTTAAATATCTGAGCAATGACTTTATATTTTGATTAGACTCTAGCAAAATTAATTTTAACTCTGGGATAATACAAAATATAATAATTACTTAATGCCCCATGCACCACACTAGAGATGTCACATCACAGACATCATCTTAGATGACTGCTCAATACTGTGAGTAGTACTAGCCCCTTTAATGGCTGAGGGAGATGGGGCTGAGGAGACATTCCACAGCAAGTCCAAAATTAAACTGTAGTCTGCCAGCCCTCAAAGTCTGCATGTGAATTCCATGTCCACACTTCCTGTGCTACAATGTTCTCCCACTGAGGAGTGGCACTATCAAAATATATGGCAGGAAGAGGCTCGAGTGTGGCAGGAAACAAGTTTTAAAATAGCTTATAAAAAATGAACTAATGGCAATGATGGGACAGAGCAGGAATGGGATGGATTAAAAAAAGAAAGCATAATTCTTTTTAGCTTTATTTGATTTTTCTTTATATCCTTTAAGTATATTAATTGCAAAGGAATAAACCTATAATCCAAGTAGAGTGGTTATCTTCATACTGCATAAAATTCTTATAATTAGAAATGAAGATGGCAGTAATGTGTAAATTAAAAAACTGCTCACTATAAAGAAATGAATAGGAAGCCATACTTACAATAGCCTTGAGCAGAACCCATGCCAAGAGACAGAGAGGACATATTAGTATGGAGCAAACACAGCAGCCAATAGAAGGAACGATTTAGTAATTCATGAACAGAAGTAAAAGATATGCATTTGTTTTTCAAAAATGTACGTTTTTCTTTCTTCTATGTATGGTCTCCTCATTCTGTCTCGTTCTCTGGAGTTTAATACACTGTGGCTAGCCCAAATTATCCATATCACTGGATATAACAATGCTTTTCTGCTTCCATGCTAAAAATAAATGACATAAAAATAATAAAAAAAATGTGCAATCATCCTACTCTGACTAAGGTCACATGAAAGGACTGCGGTTTGTGAACAGAAACAGGCAGAAATTATGCTGTTCTTCAGAGGGGACCAGTTCCACCTGGCAGGTTGTTCTACATATGATATATTCCTTAGGTGCAACACTGTAGGTTAGTGAAAGAGAAAGGACAAGAACATCAAAAATGTGCTGGAAGAAAGAACCCAATCTTTGTTACTGTACTAGCTATGTCTGAGGCATATCTTCAGAATAAGGAAGTTTCTATCTGAATATTACTATATGTAGAGAAGAACTCGAAGATAATTGTCAAGATTTTAGTGTAAGACATCTCATTAGCATCTGCACAGTCAAATAAATTGACTAACTTATACAAAGTCCTGTATAAGTTTGACACCTCATTTTTAAAGCATGTAATGGTAGACAGTGTATTTAATTAGAATTAACACAGTAATATTTAATATCAGGTTATTTTTCACAGAGTATGTTTTATTCTTCACAGGATAAATTCCTTTATATGTCTTAATATTAGAATGGGAAACAAGTACAGTGGGCTGGTACTGATGCTTTGTCAGTCTTATTTTCTATGTACCACAAACCCTTCCCTCCTTTAACAAATCAAAAAACATTTCCTTCAAATTTTTACAAACCAAATGAAGTTTACATTAAATAGAGAGTAAGGGGCCTCATGACTGCACTAATCTGAGGACTATTACCCCTTTTAGCTCCTCTCTAAGACAACTCTAGTCAGGCTTATGAATAGCTTACACACCGAGAATGGTTTTCTTTTCCTCTTTGTAATTTTGCATTCTGGATAAAACATGTTTAAAACAATAACCATGACCTTTCAAACTAGTTCCATTGTAAGAAGGGAATAAAGTAGCTTAAATATTGGTGACAGACTTAGGAAGTGGGAATCGGTCAGGAATCTGAGAAGGATTACCAGTAAGTTAATTTAAAGGACTGTAAAACCACCAATCTTACAATGCTTCCAATCAACATAAGCTCAATGTACATTTAAGAAACTTATAAAATTATATTACTGATGTATTTTTTTATCTAATATGCTCAGATTTTAAGTAAATTCTGGTTTGAATCCCCTTCTTTGATTCCTTTTGCTTTTCTTTCCACTTATGTTAAATTATGTTAAAAAGGCTGGATGAAATTCCATGTATTTTGATGTTTTGAGGTTGATTTCCAAATTACTCTATCAATGGAGACAACCAAATCTGTCAATGGGAATAACCAAACACAAACAGGTTTACTCTCAAAGGATTTGTATCAAATGGCAATAGGAAAAAAAAGTACCCCACCTGGCCGAAGCACTGCTTAGTCACTAAAGTTTAGGTGTCCTGTCCTCTTTACACTATTTTTGAGGACTGTACAGTCATATACTCTATCATATACTACCTATCAACTGGATGTGTAGAATATGCTCTACTTACACAGACAGCAGGAGACCCTGAAATGAAAATGCAATTTTTTTAATCGAAGGGGAAAAATCCTATACTTTGAAAACTAAAGCTTTTAAAATATAAAGCCTCAATTAATTTCTTAGTTGAAAGCTACAAATGAACTTTTAATTCTTGGCAGAGTGAATCTTAAAAAGGAATAGCACTTTCAATAGGAATGTTAGTAAAGCAGTTTCTTTTCTATAACTAATATAATTATATATCATTTTTATAGAGATCATCATATAAAAAACAAAAGTTAAAGATTTTCTTGACATTGTAAAACTGTTGGACAGTGGTTGGTACATATTAAAACTTACATCTTCTGCTTTTGAGCCTTGATCTTGCAAAGACTTTTGCAATTCTTCAACTTGTGATTGTACTTCTAAAAGTCTCTGATTCACCAACCTAGAAAACAAATATGTATTAATTTTCCAAGTTCTGACTTAATTTCTGTCTTTTTCCTTAGATTCTCCTGTTGGTTAAAGAGGCAGTAGAAGTAGCTAAATGAAACTTCATGTTATAGTAGCAGTTGCAAGTTTACTGGTAGGTTTTTGTGCTGTTTGAAATGTCTATGATGATTTCCAATGTAGTGTTTTGGTGGATGTATTTTCTTTAGTTGGAATATTTATGTATGTCTACCTGCAATGTAAACTATGAATGTAAATACATATATCTTTAACTCAAAATGTGTCAGGGAGCACTAGTGTTAAAGGATGCCTACAGTCAAGGAATTTAGTGGAGAGGGAAATGTAAACAAATAAAATATGAGGCAAACACTTCAACACAGTGCATAGAGCATAATGTAGACTGCTCAAAAAAAGCAGAACTGTACTTAACGGTATGGAGGAGTTAGGACAGGATTTCATGAATTGAGACTAAAACAGTAAAGAAAATATTTTATGTGGTTAAGGTGGATAAAGAGATTTGAGACAGAGAATTCAAATTCAGTATGTCCAAACTGCACAGCAAAATGAGAGGGTATAGTGAGTTTGGGAATCATAGGTAAGAATAAGTGATAAGAGAAAGAATGGCTTGTGTACAGGCAAAAGTATCTATTATAATAGGCCTATTATAACCTGGCCTAAAATCTGCTGAAATGGAATAAACTAGCCAGTCTTTAATAATGGGGATTCTGAACCTTGATTTTCATAATTCTCTAGATCATTAAAGTGCAACATTCAGCAGGCCAGTTTGGTTTCCCAGATCTTGGGTGATGTTGAACATTTGCAAAAAGAGAAACATCTGTTTTGCAAATAGAGCATGTTATTATAAGAAAGAAAATATATTGAAAGGCAAAAGAAGAAGAAATAAAAAACCCACAGGATTTCAGCTTGAGCTACCAAGAACCATTCACTGATGAAGGGGATACAGTAGGAAGAAGAAAGGATTACAAAGGACCTAACTTTGTATTTATTGAAAATTAAGTACTTGGGGAGGTAACTAGCTACGTCTGGAACACAGAGAGGTCTGAGTTGAATATACAGATTTGGAAACCATGAGTAGCTACCTGAAGTCATGAGCATAGATAATATTGACTAGAAAGAATGTAAAGAGTGGAAGAGGAACAAAGATGGTCCATGGGAGATCACTAACCAAGGGCAAAAAGAGGAAACTTACCCTGGAGAATAATTGGAGAATTAGGAGGAATATAAAAGAGGGGTGTTGCTGAAATGAAATAAAAGTTTGAGGAAGGATGAAATGATCAGCAATAAATACAATAAAAAGATGTAAACAAACTCTAGAAATCTGAATATGGAACGGAGCTACCAGAGGGACAGAGTAGGGAGAAGGCAACAAGGGACAAGAGAGGCCAAATGGAATATGGTAGAGGATTACGGGTGCCTTGGGGGGATGTGGATCATACATCTGGAGAGATGTGAAATTTCACCCCTAAAACATACACAATGTTGTAAATCAGTTAGAGCATTTTTTAAAAAGAAAGAAGAGAAGAAAGGGAAGAAGGCAGTAGCATTTACTAACAACAACAGGCAAGTCTGTCCTCAAGCATCCTATTTCTTAAAGTGAAGTAAAATGACACATGATCACATTTCAAAATACAATTCCAGTTGCTGTTTAAAGAAATAAAAAACCAAGGTAAGTAGGGAAAGACATTGGCTAATTGCTACAGTTAGTACCCATTCCTACCTATTCTCTGTCTCCAGTTCATTCTTGCGTAGATTTGCATCATCTAGAAGGCTCTGCAACAAGGCAATTTTTTCATTGTCTGAACCCTCTTGGCTAATTTTTAACATCTTATTTTCATGCTGAAGACGAATAAGTTTCTCCCTAAGTGAGGGAAACAAAAACTGGTCATCTCGTATATTATTAATACAATATAGCTAACAAAAATCAGCTATGTACAGTTACAGATTTAATATATAGAACAGTAATGGGAAAGTACTTTTAAAAAAATCTAGTTCCTGGGCCCTCCCTGGTGGTGCAGCGGGTTAAAGCACTGCACTAAGAAGCTTAAGCCACTTCCACATGAGTTGGATCCCCGCCTGCCCCAGAGGTGCCCTGGAGGTGATCCACATGGCGCGGCAGACCTCTCCTGACCCACCCACTGCTCCCCTCAGCAGTGTACTTCGTCGATCTGCCTGTTCTGCTCCCCGCTCTGTCCCTGGTGAATCCTCTCACCCTCCGCATCTCTGGCCTATACCCCAGTTCTGTATGAATAAGTAAATAAATCTTTAAAAAAAATATCTAGTTCCTATACAACTGGGTAAGCATTACACTTCAGGTCTGAAGTAAGTTTTCTTAAGAATGAATAGAGATAAAAGAATGTCCAAGTGTCAAGATTTGTAATGAAAGCGGTTTCTAAATTCCATTTTTTTCTGACTTTAAATATTTAAATGATGAATGCATTTACTTTTTGATTCTCATCAAAAAACATGTCCAAAGCTATGCTCTAAAATTACCAATCAGTTGGTGGCAAAATATAACATTCAATGAATGCTGACAAGATACACAATCTACCCATTCTTATAAATAAGTAAAAGTATATTCTTATAAAAAAGTCAAATAATCAGAATCTATTTATTGAACTGCAATTGTTTTGGGCTCCTTGTGATAAGTTTAAGTTTACATTGGGTAGGGATGTTAAAAGCAACAGTCACACTCACATTCACTGTAGGGATGGCATAATTGAGGATGAATTTATAAGAAGATATAGTTGGAGAAATACTGTTAAAGTTATAATTCATGGTTAACATGATGTAGGGGCTCCTATAAAAAGATTACTAGCACATACCAGACACTATAAAAAGCTGTGTTTTTCCACTGTTTCAAAAAGACACCTGCATCCCCATGTTCACTGCTGCTTTATTTACAATAGGAAATAAATAGCAACCCAAATGCCCAAAAGTAGATGACTGGATTAAAAAGATGTGGTACATATACACAATAGAATATTACTCAACAATCAAAAAAGATAAATCCAAGCCTTTTGTAGCAACATGGATGGAGCTGGAAGGGATCATGCTTAGTGAAATAAGCCAAAAAGAAAAAGAAAAATACCATATGGTGTCACTCACAGCAGAAGCATGAAGGATGGGGGGTGGGGGGAGGGGGACAATAATAATAATAATGTACAACTATATACCAGAGACATTTTACGGGGGTGGTGGAGTGGAGAATGTGATCAATCAAAAATGGGGCTGGTGGGAGAGAGTGCCTAGGTCTTTGGTGATGGCACACGGGTGACTTGGTGATGGAAAGCCCACAGGGATTACAACTGAGATGGAAAAAGGAACAAAGTGATGTAAAAACAAACGATCATATTGTTAAAAATGTATATAAGTAAAAAAAAAGGAAATACAAACTTTCTATAATCATAAGGTGCAAAATACTACTGCATAAATATAGCCATGTAAATCTATGCACATACACATGCAAACACTTAAGAAAATGGATCACAGTATATCCTACATTGGTATTCATTATTTTTGTTAAAATTTCCCAACTTTTTTAAATGTTAAAATACACAGATGGATTGTTATTTATTTAGCAAATGTCCAATTATTAGACATTTGACCAATTTTCAGCTGTAACATGTTAATAATAATCAGCTTCAGAAATTCTTGGTTATTTCTTAACATTAACTTCCAAAAAAGTTTATTTTCGGGTAATAAGTTAGGCACATTTTTAGACAACAGATACATCAGACAAACTACTTAGAAGAAAAATTGTACCATTTTAGTTTATTACTTCTAGTTTCTGTGGTTTTCTTGATATACTTACATCAATGAAAATAATCACATAAAATAGAATATTAGAAGTCTAAGAGGCAAATTCCATTATGGATTAAGAATATCAACCCATTGCCTTTTACATCTGTTTAAAAATTTTTATTTGTTTTACCATTTAAGTATCTTGATATCTCCTCTGACAGACAGCATATGTTGAGTCATACTCAAAAGAGTCATTATATTTGTTGTCTTTATCATTACTCTTCCTCAGTTTAAAAAGCCTTCATAACCTTCTTAAAAGATGTTTTTCTGGACAGAATTACTGTCATAAATATTCATAAAAGCAAGTACTAATTTACTCAACAAATTTTACTGGTCCAGAAACAAACGCACTATGTTGGATGGCAGAAAAGTAAAAGGTACACAAGATACTTTCAGAAGTGGTATTCAACTCTCTTTGCTTTTTCTTAAATAACTGCCAAGAACAACAAGTTAACAGTCTTCATTTATTTAACAAGTATTTGCATGCCAACTTCAGCTTTTAAAACTTATACATTTCTTACACAAGCATTATTTTATTTAATAATCTGAAGAATGCTGTGAAGAATCGAGGCTTGTGTCTATTTAGAAAAGGGCGAATAGGCGCCCCCCACCCCAAAAAGGAAAAATCAATCTTGGGGATTAACCATTCTTCTGCTGGATACTTAGTGCCTCTTTCTCAACTTTTTTTATTTTTATATACAAAGCCAGGTATATACTTAAATAAATGTAATTTTTAAAATGCTATGACTAAGTAAAAATATAAGGTACTATGAAAGAAAGAGTAGCAAAGGAGGAGAGATTACTTCCTTTTGTCTATTGCTTTGTATCTTTTCCAGGGCATTCCATGTAGTTAACAGACAAGCCTTAGTGACTACTTATATTGTAGGCCCGTGGCTAAGCATAACCTTTCTCTGCCTAGGGACAAGTGGCTTTATTGCTAAAAGTCTGCTAAAGATACAAACACAGATAGACTTGTTTGCTGGGTACATGTGAAAAAAAACAATGTCCAACATGAGAAAAAAACAAGTCTCTAATAAGCCAAAGAAAAGAGCTTTTGATAGGCTAAAAATATGGAAATCTAATATGGAGTTTATATTGAAAGTGTTAGTAATAAAGAATAAAGAATGAAGCCCCTGTAAAAGGAGTGAGTGTTCTCCAAGAATACTGTGCAGTGTAACTATAAGTCCATCATCTCCTTACCTGATTTCAGGAGTAACAATCTCTGCAGCCAGACTATCTGAAGATTCCTGACTCCCCAGAGGCATTAACCCTATAAATACACAAATATGAGTGTAGGGTTGAGAGACAACATTATCTTCTGTTTAGTATTAATTCTAACAGCTGAAGTCTTTTAGACAAGTGAAAAAACAATGTCACAGTTGCCTTCTATTATTACCAATGTCTTTTAAACATTTTCTAAGTGTAAAACTAAGTGGCAGTAAACATATTCACTATGTTGTGGAACCATCCATACTATCTATTTATAAAATGCTTTCCTTACCCAAAACATAAATTGTCTATTAATCAGTAACTTCCTATTCCTATTTTTCTTAGGCTCTGGTAACTGTCATTTTACTTTCTGAATTTGCCCATTGTAGACATTGTATATATATAAAATCCTAAATATTTTCCCTTTTGTGCTTGACTTATTTCATTTAACATAATGTTTTGAAGATTCATCTATGTTGCAGCACTTGTCAGAACTTCATTACTTTTATGAATGAATAATATTCTATTCATATGTATACACCACATTTTGCTTATCTATTATTTCTCATTTGTTCAGTCTAGATTTTTAAAACAAAACTTTTAGATCAAGAATACACACACACACACACACATATAAGAAGGTTAGGACATAAAAAAAAATACACACACACATATACATATATGTATATGTATAGGTATGTTTGTTTGTTTATAGGTAGCAAAGAAAAAAAAGTGATGGCCTGTCTTTTCATGATGACATAACAGCTGAGAACAAAAGCACTGAAGTTCACTCTAGATTCTCAAAATTTTGGAAAACTTATGTAGAACTCATCAGATATGTGAAAAGATTGCCAAACAGCAATGAGGAGCCACTTACAATCAGAAATAACAGTAATATTTCTGTGTGTGTGAAGACAATTAAAAAGATGCAATTTTCTTTAAGTGAGCCTTGGTAATTTGGAATAGAGAAAATAACTTTAGGCTACCTCCATTAGGGTTTGCCAGACTGGTTCAGAAATAGGTCAGGAGGGTAGAAATGTTAGTGGTGATGAGAAAATTGTTAATGATTGACATGCAGGCTGGGAAGGCTGGAAAATGAGGCCCGAGGAGTGTTGTCAATAGAGAAAATGGTGTGCAGGATAAAGGTCAAAGTGCAAGTAGATACACACTGGAAGGAGTGAGGAGAGAGAGGAGGTTATAATCAGAGGGAAAGAAAAATTCCAGGTTCAAGTAACTGAGTAGCTGAAGGCTGGCTACTAGAGGGGCCTAAGAAGGTTAGGACATTAAAAAAAATACACACACACACACATATACATATATGTTATGTATCGGGCCTTTAGTCAGGCTCCTGCCTCTACTATGGGAAGGAAAAAGTGCTCAAAGCTACACCTTGAGCTAAATGCTGCTCCTTTCCTATAAGAAGAGCTGTTTTCTACTTTGGATGTAATTCCCTTAATGGACTGATACCCACACCTCTCATCTTAGTTGGAAAAAAATATATCACTGAATCAGAAAGTTGGACATACTTTTAAAAAAGTCATGGGAACCTTTGCAGAATACACCTTTTTCAGGTTAATTAACAGAGATTTTATGATTTTGACTAATATAATTCAAAATTTTAAATGTAGTTAAAATAAAAGTAGGTAAATAAATCCAATCCTCTAACTATAGACTATTTGCCACAAAACCCAGGTAACATTTCCAAATTTTTGTCTATCGCAGAGATTCTTCACCAACTTTTAAATATTAATCTATTGGCACAATCATCTTAATGCGAATCTTACATTTTTACAAATGTTAGAAATAATCTTTTATTTAAAATTTTATTTTTGTGTAGAAGAACTGGGCTGTAGGCCAGGGGTTTGAGGTGAGAGGATTCACCAGAGACAGAGTGGGGACCAAAACATGTGGACTGATTGAAATACAGTGCTGAGGGGAGTACAGGCAAGACAGGAGAGGTCTGCTGAGCCATGTGCCTCAGTTCCCCAGGCCACAGCCATGATAGCCATGAGACTTAACTCCTAGGCTACCAGGGAGGCCCATGAAATAAATAATTTTGTTTGGATTTTGGAAATGTTTTTACCTTGCGTTGTGAGCTGCCCTTCTTGAGCCTGTACACAACGAAGTTCTTCAATGGTTTCTTTCAGAGAATCCCTTTCTGTTCTTAACCTCTGGAGGTACATTAAAAACAAGGAACATTAGCTTCAAGTTTTGATTGTTTACTCACCAGAAGTTTGTCTTTCCTAATAGAACAGTAAACAGCACAGAACATGGACATGTTTTAACTTTTGATATTCTATAGGAAGATCATGGAGGGAAGAGATAAATTTTGTTCCCATTTAACAATGCAGACTATCTAGTGTGAGCAAAGCAGTATGATGCCCATTGTTCACACAAAGAACAAACTGTCTCCTCCATCTTTACAATTAGTTCTCAAGTAACATTGTTTTTATGAAGCATAAAAGATCAAACAACAAAAATGTTAAATATTTATAAATCTTGACAAAGTAAAAATATTTTGAAAGATTCAAAGTATATTGAAAAAGAAATTGTTTTCTATATTAAGCATATAGAAAAACATAGAAAACAGAAAAATGACAAATTTATAGAAAATTCCAAGTAGCAATGTAAAAGAAGCAAAGTTGTAGAAACGTTTATATAAGATAAATTAGGTAGAAGTAAAAACATTCTTTTAACCTTTTATTTAAGGTCTATTTCTGAAAATGAAATATAAATCTGTAATCTAAACAAGATCTCTAAATTTTTTAATTTATAAATAGAAGGGCTTAATGTAGCATGAATTTAAAATCAATTAAATATCATTATCTTAATGTTAGCAGTACAGAAAACCCAAAAATGCCTAATATAAGTATACTCACATCCTTTTCTTTTTGAAGACTGTCAACTTTTTCTTTTAGCCGCTTATATTCAAAATCTAATTTATCTGCTTTCTTTGATTCTTCAGATAATCTATTTTGTAGTTCTACTACCTAATACAGAAAGGCATCATTAATTTTTAAAAATTGAAACATTAGAAAAAGAACCCTGTTTTCTTCTAAAAGTCTACAAAAACTCTCTTCTCTCTAAATACTCAAGAAAATGTATATGATCTGATGATAATACCCAATGGAGAGTACTAAGAATAAAAATCTACCTACACATTATGGTTCTTTAACCTACTCATCCAGAGTAACAATGTTCAAAATTATAAAAGATCCTACAGAATTTCAGTATGAAAGAGCCTGCACAGCTAAGTTTACAAAAGAGTTAAGGGAAACCCTCAGAGACTGAAACAAGAGCATGAAGTTTCTGTGGAAGTAGGGTAAGGTGTTAATTGCCAATTCCAGGAATCTAGAGCTCTGAATATAACAACAGGCAGGTAGTTGTGATACCATCTTGGATTCTAAAAGGTAGTCAGTCAGGAAACAGGGTTAAGAAAATAATCCGGGTTCCTCCCTAGTGGCACAATGGGTTAAAGCAAAGCACTATGAAGTTACCACAGCCACTTGCAGCCGGAGCTCGATCCCTGGCCAGGGAGGTGACCGACATGATGTGGCAGACTTCTCCTGACCCACCTGCTGCTCCCCTCAGCAGTGTATTTCAGTACATCTGCCTATTCTGCTCCCCACTCTGTCTCTGGTGAATCCTCTCATCCCCTGCACCTCTAGCATATACCACAGTTCTGTATGTATAAATAAATAAATGTTTAATAATAATAAAAAAAACTAGTGGACATAAAGAAACAAAGTAAGGTTTCTGAGGCTAAGAGAGAGGGAGGAGGAAGAAAAGCCAAAGGGGATACAGGATTTGCAAAACAAACTTTAATTCTTTGTGAAGAAAGCATCCTTGTATAGGAAAAGAGTTCTTAAAGTAGACATTAAAAGGACAAGTCAAGAGAATATTTAATGTTCGTTATGTTATTGTAATCTCAAAAAAAGCAAAAGGACAGGTCACAGATTGGCAAAAAATTAATGCAACAACATACATAAAAAACAAAAGATTAGTATTAAGAATATATAAAGAACATTGGAAAATCATTGAAAAAAATAATCTAATTTTTAAATGAATAAAAGATAAAAATAGGCAATTCAGTAAAGAAAATGTATTTTTAATTAGGATATATCATAGGAGATGCCATTAAACACCCATCCCAACAGTAGAATTTCAAGATTGACAATACTCTGTGTTGGTGATGATGTAGAAGAACAATAGCAATTCATACAAATTACCTGTTCATATTAAAATCACTTTGGAGAACAATATGACAATACTTAGTTAAATAAAGATCCTTTGAGGAAGAAATTCCATATATTTAAAATTTTTTCACACATGTATTTGAATAGGACATGCTCAACACTATTCATGGTGGTATCTTTTATAATATAAAAAAATAGTTGAAAATATTCTATACAATTCCTTCAAAATACATAAATTGTGGGATGGTTACTCAGCATGATACTACCATAGCAGTAAAGTGAAAGGAATTAAGCTATAACTAAAATATCTCACAAATATATACTAAATAAAGTCAATTATAGAACAGTACTTTCACTCTATAGCTTTCACATTTTATATATAGTTTTGAAACGTCAAAAATGTTATAAAGTTTTAGGGATAAATACATGTACATAAAAAGAATAAACAGGAACATGGTAATGAAAAAAAAAATACCAGCATAGTGGTTATGAGGAAGATTATGTTTTACTTCTTAAGCAGGGATACTTTTTTAAAGAAAGATTTTATTTATTTATGTTTGCAAAGAAGAACTGGGGTACAGGCCATACATGTGGGACATGAGAGTATTCACCAGGGATAGAGTGGGGCAGTGGTGAGACAGGAGAAGTCTGCTGAGCCATGTGGGTCAGTTCTCTGGCTGAGGATAGAACTTAGGCTGAGACTATCACTACCAGGGGCCACCAGGGAGGCCCCTATATTATTCTTTTATTTTTGTGATTTTTTTAAGTATTATGTACTAAGTTCATAAATAAAAAACAATAAAGGGGTCTGCTAAGAGACCAATTGATAACCTCTGGATAAGAACTTATTTTTTATAAATAAAAAAAATGAGAATACTGTAAAACAAAAGTCAGTAATTTTGGAAAAGCCATGGTATTATAATACTTGAAAATATCATTAAGAAACTTTGTTACTACTCTTTTTACCTGTCTCTTGTATGTCTCAAGTTGACTTCGGGCTGCATTGGCTTTTCTTAACTCTTCCTCTAGACTAACAGTGTTCTGCATATACATGGTATTCTTCTCTTCTAAGAGTTTAACCTGCCGCCTCAAATCACCAAGGTCTTCTAGCTTCTTTTTATATGATTCCACTTGACCTTCTAGCTTTGACACTTTATCAGAAGAATGTCTAGAAATAACACAGGACATCGGAAATTAGAAACACATCCTATTTGTGACAGCTATTTCAGACAGTGTTAAACCAATAAGGATTGCCAGGAAACCACACTTTTAAAAAAAAATATATAATTGTTTATTTTTACATCATTTGTGCCATTTTCCATCTCAGCTGTAATTTCTGTGGGCTTCCCATCACCAATTCACGTGTGTGACATCAACATAGTCTCATGCACCCTCCCCCTCCCCATTTTTGATCCCATTCCCCACTCCACCCCCGTAAATATCTCTGGTATATAGTTGTTCATTATTATTATTACCCCCCCACCCCAGTCCTTTATGCTCCTGCTATGAGTGAAACCATCTGGTATTTTTCTTTTCCTTTCTTTTTATTTTGCTAAGTGTGATCCCTTCCAGCTCCATCCATGTTACTGCAAAAGGCATGAGTTTACCTTTTTTGATCACTGAATAATATTCCATTGTATATATGTATGGAAATCATACATTTTAATGAAAGTATAAGACCAAAGTGATTCCAGGTTAATTGTATGCTCAGCTTAAAAATTACTACCAGAATTACAGCAACATTACAATGGAGAACATTACATAAGGAAAGCAAGCAGAAGGAGGTAGCCAAGCGAGTCACATGAGGCACAAAAGCAAAAACTGTGCAGTGTCCACATGATCTAACAATCAGAATATTATCTAAGAACAGCTGTTTCAGTGAAGTAGTAGAGGCAGATGATGGCAAATTTTAGGGCATTGAGGAAAGAACACAAATTTTACTTGTGTAACCTTAATTTGTTCTGGAGGGAAGGAGAATAGTGCGTCTCTTTTTCTAAGATGACAGAGATTTAAACATATAAACAAAAGCTCCAGTGAGAGATTCAAAGTGGAAAGAGATATGATAACTGATATTAATATTGCCCTGTGTAGGCAAGAAGGATTAAAACCAAGGGCACTGAAGAAGGAATCAGCATTGCACAGAAGAGTAACAAGTGTCGCCCAGCAAAACAGAAATAATGGGAAGGGAAGTGAGGACGTACAGGCGATATGGCCAAGGAAGCATTCCACTTTTCATGGCCACTTTCCTTGATGCAGAAGGAGACAAGATTGTTCTTTGAGCCTAAGCCACGGAGAGGGGGTGGTGCGGTGGGCATTCAGTTGAGAAGACCATGGAAGGGTGTAGTAGCTATCAGAGGAATGGCAGACACAGCTTCCCAGCCAGAGGCAACAGAATGGTGGACCTCAGTGAGAACCCAGGAAAGAGTAAAGATGACTAATGTGCAAATAAAACAAAATTGCAGCACTATGGGACTTTCTCAGTATTTAAGAGGAAACATGTAAAATGCAGAAGGTCAGAATGATGCAATTAAGGACAGGAAATGTAAGGGCAATGGGGGAAGAATAAAGGGGAAGGAATGAAATGCCTGGTGAGAAAAGAGTGGAGGTGAAGATAAAAGGATGGAGCAGTAAAGCCACATAGGCTGTGACAACAGTTAAGAAACAGGAAGACCAAGTAACTAAAGAAGTCAAAATTTTAAAATGGCAGTAGTAAGAAAAAAGGTCTAGAACTAGGATAAAGTGATGATCACAAAATGAATTTCTATTTAACAAATATCTATAAAACACTAAGCTGTCAAACACAATTTTAAGTGTTCACAACTAGAAATACACTTAATCCCGTATAGAGGTAGCTATGGCACTGTTAACAACTGAGAAAATGATTAATAAAGATTAAGTAAGTAATAGTACTGAACTCTGAGATGAGGTAATCTACACCCTGCTATATTCAGGAGCCTAGAGCCTATATAATTTGGGTAGGAATGACAAAGCTGAGGTTCTACAGAAAGGGGAAGACTACTTACCTAAGAACATCTATTTCATCTTTTAGCGACTGAGCTTCATCTGCCAAAGTGGTTAGTTCATCATTTTGTTGCCGAAGTTCAGAGATTTCCTTTTCTAACTCTTCACAGCGTATTCGATAATCATCTTTGGCTGCTTCCAATCTGTAATCAAAACAAAACAGACCAATAGTCCAAGAGACTAATGAATAATAATTTTCTTTAGAATAGTATAAGGAAATTAAAAAAAAAAAAAAAAAACACATGAGAATGAACTCTCTTTAATGTGTCCCCTAAGTTTGTGACTTTTCTTTTTAAAGATTTATATTTATTGATTTACACATATAAAAACTGGGGTGTAGAGGTACAATGGTGGAGGGGTGAGAAGATTCACCAGAGGGACAGTCAGGAGCGGAGCAGGCAAGACAGGAGGTGTGCTGTGCCATGTGGGTCACCTTCCTGGCCTGGGACCAAACTCAGGCAGCTCCAGCAATGACAGCATGATAGTGCAGAGACTTAACCTCTACACCACCAGGAAGGCCTCTTTTGTTCCTATTTGCTGTTATTTCCAAGTCTTAATATCTTCAAAATAAATTTCAGTTTAAGTTTGAATGATTTGTTAAGGAGATCTCTCCCTTAAGAAGGCATATTGTCTCATTTGTAGTTAACAAGTATTCTATTTGATGTAAACCTCAAAAGCCTTAAAAACCACAAAATACTTAAAAAATAGAGAGAAACGAGATCATTTTTATGTAATAAAAATGAGCCAGAAACATTATATTTAACTACAGAAAGTAGTATAAAATACTGTATAGTACTGATAAAATATGTGAATTGTTAAAATACTTTACTATGATACATATTTTGGAATAAAGACATTAGATAGTATTTAGGACCATTTTAAATACCAGTTCCCATAAACTACACTTAAAATACTTCCTAAAATAGAGAAACGCAAGGGTTATATAATATTAAAGTCTTACTATCATCAATAGAAAGTCAAGACACAGAAAAAGCTCTTTCAAACTTTTTGGTCTTGGGATCACCTCACACTCTTAAAATTACTGAGATTCAAAACCTCTTCTTAATACAGGTTCTATGTATTTATATTTACGTATTATAAATTAAAAGAGAACACTCTAAATATATTTACTTAATTGAAAGTAAAAGTAATGAACTCACATTTACATGTGATATGAAAAGTAACTTTTCTGAAATAAGAAACTGAAGATTGGCAATATTTTTTATCTATTATGACTTAAATATCTGATTTAACAGAAGACAGCTGGGTTCTTATGTTTTCTCCATTCATCTTCTGTGACATGTAATTTGATTGAAGTATACGAAGAAAATCCAGCATTGCACAGATATGCAGATGAAAAAGAGTCTTTTTGTGATAGAGAGCTTCAGAGTTACAGTTTTACAGTCCTAGTGCTAGAAATCGAGGGTTTGTTAGGAAACAAGTCATAATGGATTTTAGAGTATACCATTAAATAGTTTATATTACTGCACACATCAGAGTCATAGTCCTGTTCTGCTTTAAGGACATCTAATTTTTCTTCTTTTCATTTCCACTATCCATTTGTCAAAGGCCCTTTTCTTCCTTTTTGCCTTTTCCTTTCCAGAAGGTGTTACCCTTCACATAAGTCTGTTTGCAATTCATGCATCTAGCCTTTGTATCATGTCTCTTTAAAGACTGTACCTGAAAAGGGGTAAGCCTGCTTTTAAATCCCGTCCCTGTATCTTTTTATGATGCCTGGCCCCTGAAGAAGACCCAGTGTGATATGAAGTTTAATCCCCCTTTTTGTTAGAAAAGTAACTTTAGACTTTGAATGAAGTCAACATTTTGGTAAGTGCTCTAACTTACTCGTGCTCAGTGTACTTTGTACTTGTCTTTGTTTCTCCTCTGCCTTTACTTTGCTCACAGTGCCAGAATGGGTGGTTTCCTCCCTTCACTCAGAGTCACATTTCAGTTGGGGCATTCAGTATCATTTAATGCTGAGGGTTTAACTTTGATAGTTTTTCCTTCATATAGACTTATTTCATGTCATGTGGGAAAATTCTGGGTAAATTGTTTATTGCACTGTCTCCTTGGTCTGCAGGTACCCAGAATTCCTAACGATATAGTCTTACCTTTAAGTTATGGAATTTTAAAAAATAAGACTTTATTGCTTTCACCTGAATGTTTCTTCTTGGAGCTGTTCTAGCTGAGTCTGGAGCTGCAGATGCCTTCTGCCTGCTGGACTATTAGGATCTTCTATAGAATCAGACTGATTAAGTCTTTCCATTAATATCTGATTCTCTGCCAGCAGACTGCTCTTCTCCTCCTGCAATGCTGCAACCTGTCAGAATACAGAAAGACAGAAACTTTCTTCTTCCAACGCTGCCATTATCAGCATAATTACTATTATGAATTGAAGCCCGCTTTTAAATAAGTAAATTAATACCCTCTAAAAATATTTACATTATTTTTGAATACTGCCCAAGCAATATGTAAGAGTAAGCAATAATATATTATTTCTTCTCTGAAAGTTCACCAAAGAAGATACATACATGGCAACTGAGCATACAAAGATAATTATAATTAGTTATTAAGGAAATTCAAATAAAACCACAATATTGAAGAATGAAGTTATCAAGATAGTGAAAGGGGAGGTTCCTTGCTTCACTCTCTATAGAAGCATCTAATAATTAACCAGTGGGATACTACATGGAGAGTTTCATGGCCTGGGGTAAGACTGAAGCACCCCTTCTACCTCAGTGACTAATGCAGGCTGTGCCAGTGGAGACACAGAGAAGATTCACCTTTCCTTGGATAGAAAGTGAAGAGAAAAGTGCTTAGTGGCTGTGGCCAAAATTGGAGAACACAGAAGGGAGGGTCACCAGCCCAGCCAGACCAGGAGGAGAAGAGCCAAGGCATACAACCTGGATGCAGGAGAAACCCGTGTGGAGATCCTGGGAAGCAACACAGAGCCCAGGGCCCCAGTCAAAACAACAGAGAAGATCTCTAGGCTGCACGTTGCCCCTCCCTAACCCTCAGGACTGATAAGAACCTCATTCAGATGTACTTAAAAAACTTAACAAAAATAAACTTTTGGACTATGAGAAAATGTTGTTTTATGATGTTCTAACAATATACTTTTATCAGGGTGGATAAATTTAAAAAGATTTGCTCTGCCCAGTGTGGGTAAAGATGCAGAATCAATGAACTTTCACATACTTCTGGTGAAAATGGAAAAGGATTTAATGACTTTGGAAAGGAGTTTAGCATTTTTCTAAATGAAACAGATCATATTACCCATCAAATCTACTCTTAGGTATTAGAGAAGAGCATTTATCCACACAGATTTACAAAGAATGTTCATTTGTACATTCTTTGTACAAATGTACAAGGCTTTGCTTGTAATAGAGAAAACCCAGAAAAAACACAAAAACTCATCAACAAGCAAATGGACAAATATACTGTAGCACACATGTGCAACAGAATATTATTTGGCTCTAAAACAGACTTAACTACTGATACTGACAAGAATGAATCTCAAAATCATGAAAGAAGCCATCCAAAAATAGAAGCCAACTCTGAATGACTCCTTTTGTATACAGTTCCAGAAGATACAAACTATAATACAGAAAGCAGAGTTAAGGGATTACAAAGAGGCATAAGGAAAATTTTGAAGTTCTAAATCTATTATGCTGATTGTGGTGACAGTTTATCAGGTTTATACATATGTCATTAGACATCAAAATTGTATACTTTTAATGTAAGATATCTATCATAATAGATTCTATCTCAATAAAGCTATAAAAACAAAAGTTGGTTGCCATTTCTAGGTTCTCTCCCTACCCATCCTCTTCTTTGGACTCATTTTAGTTAGGCTATTAGCCCTATATACCACCAAACTGGTCATGAAGATTACTGCTGACCGCAAGGTCATTACCACCTGTTGACAACACTGGACACAGCTGAGCACAGCTTCCTTGAGACATTTTCTTCACTTGGCCTCCAGGATACCTTATTCTTGCTTTCTGTGTAAACCCACTGGTCATATTTTTCTTTCATTAGTTTCCCTTTATTTCTCTGCCCCTGAAGTATCCCATAGCTTTTCTTTTCTAATACAGTGACAGCTTCCAGTGCCCTGGCTGTAAACACCTTATCACTGGCAACACACACATTTCTATTTCTAGCCTGGCATCTTAGACTAGCTAGTATTTCCATTTGGATGTCTAATGGGCATCTCAAATTTAAATTGTCCACGTGGAATTCTTTTTTTAAAAAAAATATTTATTTATTTGCACATATAGAACTGGGGTACAGGCCAGAGGTGCAGGGGCGGTGAGAGGATTCACCAGAGACAGAGTGGGGAGCAGAACAGCCTGACTGAT